CCAGCGTGAGCGGGACTGGATCTCCGACCGGGCTGGCGAGTTCCTCGATTACCGGCGGAACCCTCGCGCTGCTCAGAGGCGCATGACCCATTTATTCAACGCAGCGTGCTCAGCATTAGCAGCGGTCAACCTGCTTAACGACGATAAGCGAACCCACATGCTGACGTCTACCATCCCACGCATGGACGCGTACCCGGTCCGTTTCGACTTCACCATCGAGGATATGTCATCCGAATGCGGCTGGACTAATCAGCGTCCAGTATATCTGTGGATCGTAGGAGCTCAGTCCTTGACCCAAGGCCACCGTTCAGCACGTTTTTTCTTGATGACGCTCCGGCTAGCGAAGTCTTAGACGCCATATATGGCGGTCGCCAAACTCCGTCGGGCCTGCTGGTCCTCCACTAGACAATGTCGTGATCTCACTCGGCGGCAGATCGCTGACGCTCCGCTCTGATCAGGCACGGGTAAGACTGTTGTCGGAGCCCTGCTCGCGGCTCGCCGCTCCATCTCTTGCGAGGGTCGCGTAATTGCAACGACTACGACGAACACGGCGGTGGCCCAGTTCACCGACACCTTACTCCGGCTCGACGACTACAAGCACCTCAGCATCATCCGTTTCGTCTCTGATTCGGCGCTCATCGAAGGAGCCCCCCAGACACCGATCGATCTGCATACCGTGCTGAAGCGTCTTCCTGACGACTACGGTCACCTCATGAGTGAAGAGTGCCGCGAGTACTGTCTGGCGTACCGCCGAGGACGAATCCTGCTGGAACGATTCCTTTTCGAGAATGACATGGCTGTCGATCTGTCAGATGCAGACAAAGACGAATACCGGCTCGCCGAACGTGACATTTCCGACCTCACCAAATGGGCCGTTTCCACCCTGTTCAAGGTTCACCCACCGGCGATCATCTGCATCACCACCTCCTCCTTGCTCAATTCTGTCGCTCCGGGAGGTATCTTCGCTGGTCTCATGGGCTACGTAGCCACCATCATTGGTGATGAAGCATCACAGATACCCGAGCCAGCTCTAGTCGCCCTTACCACGCACTTTTCGTATGCACGGCATATCTACGTAGGCGACATTCACCAGTTGCAGCCTCACGCCCGTTGTCCGCGAACATCTAATCCGGCCCGATTCGGTGCCCAAGGCGTGATGGATATCTTGCTGGCCAAGAGGGTTCCAGTGGCGCCGTTAACCACCACCTTCCGCGCACACCCTCTCCTCAACGAGTTTCCCGAACTTAGCCTTCTACGGCCAGACTCTCGTCAGCGGAACTCCCGCCGAGGATCGTCAGATGTTTCTCTCCCTCGTCCGCTGCCCCAACCCGTCCTTGCCGTTCCTTTTCGTTGACGTGCCTGGCACCGTCAAGTCGCATAGCGGATCTCACAGCAACGAGTTAGAAGCCGAAGCATGTCGCCAGATCATCCTCGCCCTTTT